GGGGTGAACAAAGGCCTCCTGTAGTGAATCGATGCGTTTTTGTAAGAAAAATATCCATATTCAAAACGTAATAATCACTTTAATATAGCTTGCGCCAACAGTTGTACACGGAAGCAGCTCCGGGCTGATGACGTATGAGGTCAGCGTTGCGCATGCGCCGGTGAGTCTCGTGAAAACCAGCGTTTGTTAACAGTAGGGGTGCTCCGATTGATCGGCTACCGATCACAATCGGCCAATAATCGCTTTGGGATGATTGATCGGCGGTCTCTAAAAAGGCCAGTCTCATAAAACCCATCTCAAGCTGATGACGCGCCTGCCGTGAGAGGTTTGGCACGACATGCAGCGGCACCGTCTCAGTCTCTGTCCGGCGCGGGTGAAATAATTATAATGCTTTAGGTGAGGTACAATTCATTTCCGCGCTCATGTTAACGGATTAAAGAATGCAAATGGCTTGAAAATGACAGTTGACACAGGAATTGTCACTTGCACTATCGAGGCAGTGTCGCATCGTCACTAAAGTTTATAAATTGCATTTTTTCTTTTTAATTCTTGCCAGTGTTTAAACCATTCAACGCTCGCACGCTTTCCTGGAGACCGTGCACTCATGCACACTCGTAGCGCACACACATAACGCCAGGCGTATTTTTTCCATGCTCATGTTAACGGATTAATGCGTTCACACTGCACACATGGCCTGCACTGCGTTTCCGCGGGCGTCACTTCTGAGCGGCGCACGCGCAAATCCGACCTCATACGTCATCAGCCCGGAGCTGCTTCCGTTTACAACAGTGAGCGCAAGCTAGATTAAATTGATTATTACGTTTTAAATATTCTAACAAAAACTCATCGATTCGCTACAGGAGGACTTTGTTCACCCCCCGGAGCCGTGTGAGACACTTTTTTTATGGATGGGTGCTTTTTATTTCACTTCTTTTGGACTGAAGCAATGCAACACTCGCTGACTGGCATTAAACAGCTTGAAAGATCAAAGACAATGTTTTATATATAACTCCGACTGGATTCGTATGAAGGAAGAAAGTCATATACACTTAGGATGCATTGAGGGTGAGTAATTTATGGGCTAATTTTCATTTTTGGGTGAACTAACCCTTTAAGGGTTGTGAGTCTGATTCTGACTCGAAGGCCTTGCATTCTGTACTGGTAGCAAATTTCTTCATTTTGTTCGGATCGTTGGGATTGGGATCATCAGTCCAGAAGGTTTTAGATTTATTAACATATCTCTTGATGACTCATTTAGACCTTAATGCAATGGCATATTTGGCATTAGATGTTTGTGTTACTAATATTCTCATCTTAAGTATGTCTAAAAATATATGCTACAGTACACCTTTCTTTTCCCCTTCCCTCTGTCCCTGTCTTTGTCTCTCTCTCCTTATGATGTCGAGGTTTAACAGGGACGGTAGCTACCCACGCTGGCATTAACCCCCTGCTATGCCTCACCCTCTTCTAACAATAGAGGTAAAGACCCGGAGGGGTTCCTGCCTGCTCTCCTACTTTTAGCAAATGCTACAGTACTGCGTTCAGCTTTCATTAACGCCACACTCACTGGGAGAGAATGAATACTGAGAGTTCTTAGCTTTCTGACAGGCTCCACCGGCTTGGGAGGCTAATACATCATAGGCTTGCAGCTAGTGCAGCCCAAGGGGACTATTGTTCGACATTTAACATTTATTAACCGACATTTTTAGAAAAAAAAAAACCCTACTTGTTGAAATAGTAATCAATTGATTTTCAGTTGAAAATAACCATTATCTAAACAATGCTGAATACATATTTTAACAAATGCAGCAATGCTTGAAGTCAGTTAGTAAGGTGTGGGTAGTAGTGGTTGACCAATATATCGTCATGGCCAATATATCGTCCTATTTATCAGCCGATGTGCAGACACGCAAGAGCGCCCATTCTTTGTCTTCATTAGTTTACTGTCTTGTTCAACTGTTCTGTCTAATAATAGAAAGGCAAACGCTGTAATACTTTTTAAATATAAGTAATGCACATTTATATAATTTAAACAAGTATTTTAATACCCATTCAGGGCTCAACACTACTGGCCTGGTGGGTGTAAATTTTTACTTGCCCTGCCAATATTTTCACTGGCCCTGCCACACACACACACACACACACACACAAAATATAAAATAACATAAAATAGTTGCTGTTATCATTGTTTTTGATCCATGCTAT